TTTCCAGCTGTTTACCTGAGAGTCGACACCACAACTGCACCAAGTCCAAACGGTCTGCGATTGGGTCAAAGAGGAGCAGTATCGCCCGGAGCCGAGGGCCTTCGAATGAGATGAAAGGGCTATTCACGCAAGCATGATCGCAAATTTACCGCTAATCAACTATGGCCTGAGTGAGCTTAGGGCTTCAGATGAAGTGTATTTCAATAATGATAATACCGAGAATCTGGCTTGTACAATGATATATAAGTCTGGGTACAGGTGGGAGAAACTAAACCTGGCAGCCACCATGTCGGAGAGGCAGTCGTCGAGTAGAAAGCGCAGCGCTTCAGCAGCTGGTATGGAACGTCCCGAAAAGGAGTCCAAAAAAACAAAAACAAAAACTGCGCTCGAAAAAAAGCTAGTCAAGCTGCAGCAAGTCGTCAGCGAACTCTCTGGGCGATCGGACGCTTGGGGAGATTTCGCTCCAGATGGCTTTGTCAACAAACTGGCCGGCTTACGTGACCGTATCAATGGACTAACTCCCGAAGCGGTTAGAGAGTTCATTTCAGGCGAAGGACTCAAGACTAGTTTGTTCCTACTGAAGGTTCAGGAAACAAATTTGAACGAACCACTTCCCCCCATGGATCCACAGCGGCTGGAGCTCACACAAGAGGGCCGCGAACTAATGGCCAGCTATGTGAAAAGTATTCGGGCTCATTTGACTGGTCAGTTTTAGTTGCACACCCGTCGTCTTGTGTCATAACTAACTCATGATCTGAAGCCCTTGCTGACCAAGCTCTCGTCAAACCTGCGCCGAATCAATTTGCAGACAGCAAAGAATGGCGTGAGCTCCAACGGAGAAGTGACGCTATTCTCTGCCTTCGCCCAGCCGACAAAAGGGGATTGCCTATTCCTCTTATGCACATCGCCTTCTGCACATTTGTCCGTCGGCTCTATGAACCGCTCCAGGATGAATTTACCTCCAAATACTTATCAATAGCCAACAAGCTCTGTCAAGCTATGCCATCAGCCTTTGATTCTGAGGCTCATAGACGAAAAGTCTTTGAGGAGATATTTTCCTCACTTGACGAGAAGCTAAGGCCACGTCAGGAATTCTCCCTCGAAGCAAAACCCTCTACAGTCCTGGAATCTGCTGGCCAAGTTGATATGGCCAAGACTATTGGGTGTAAAGGGGGCGAATTGGCTGTCATGTTGGAAGAATTCAAGATGGAAT